GACCCTTTCACAGGGGTCGCCTAAGACCATCGGAAAACACATATATAATTACATATTGTTTTTGTGATTAATCACTATGCTTTAATTATGTTCAATTTGTAACAATGAAATCGGGGGTCACCACAACATGAGGAACTGAATTAAAGGGTCGCGGCATTAGGAAGGTTGAGAACCACTGCTCTAGATCTAACTTACTGGAAAGTCAAAGGACTACAATCAGAAAAATCTAGTCTGCAGGACAAACCAATTTCTTTAACAAAAAATTTACAGAGACTTAAAATACATACAGGGGTGGGCAAAAGTAAGTTGTTTGTATGGAAAGTTACTACAATAATTAGTAAATAACAATACAAGAATCAACTTCCACAGACTCACAACTGTGAACCTACTTTTACCCACCCCCTGTATTGAGCCATAGGTTCTGTTTCAAAGAAACTGCTAGAAAAATATGACATTTACGAGACAATTGGGAATCTGAGCACTTACTGGGTATTTTATGATGTTAAGAAATTACCTCGTATAAAAATTATTTTATATATAAGTATGCTTAAAAAATAACCACAGCCCTGGCCGGTTTGGCTCACTGGATAGAGTGTCGGCCTGGGGACTGAAGAGTCCCGGGTTCGATTCTGGTCAAGGGCATGTACCTTGGTTGCATGCGAGCGTTTCATACACATAGATGACACTAACACCAAAGTATAAGAGGTGAAAGTACCTTTAGTTAACAAAGTACCTCATATATTTTATAGAAGAAGGTGTCAAACCTCCTTCTATACATCAATTCCCAACCTTGCCAGAATCAAAGCAATGTACATCAATCACATTGTTTTTTTTTTGTTTTGTTTTTAATATATTTTATTGATTTTTTACAGAGAGGAAGGGAGAGAGATAGAGAGTTAGAAACATCGATGAGAGAGAAACATCGATCAGCCGCCTCCTGCACATCTCCTACTGGGGATGTGCCCGCAACCCAGGTACATGCCCTTGACCGGAATCGAACCCGGGACCCTTGAGTCCGTAGGCCGACACTCTATCCACTGAGCCAAACCGGTTTTGGCATCATTCTGTGTTTTTTTAAAACATTTTAAAATACTGTCAGAGAGCTGAGACTTCAGGTGGTGACCTATCCCTATATTTTGGAGTAAACAATCAATGCAATTGAGTTATGAGACATGATAAATCTTCCTTTCCCAGGAATACCATTCTTCAAAAAAAATTTAAAAAAATAAAAAGGCTGACTGAGAACTTTGACAAAGTAGTCACATTATCAGCAGCAACTCAGTTTCCTTGAAAAGGGCAAGTTGATACAGAATGACTGGGGAGATAATGACCAACAATAACCCTCAAGCAATCCCCCAGCATCTCATGCCAACACACCAGGGAGCAACTGAAGCTGGCATGAGTCCACGGCCCCCCATCCTCCTTACTACAAGCTACTGCCAAGCCGGAAGCCTTTCTGAGGAAAGGTCTATTATTAGAAGAGCTGGGGATGTCCCGTTGAAATGCACAACGATTTTGAGTTGATGTTGGCCTACATGAAACTCAACTGTTCCTCCATATCTAATTGTGAATCTTTCAAATGGAGAAAAACAAGTTTCCTCTAAAAAGTTCTTTGGATGTATTTTGGGGACTTAATAGTTCTTAAGTTCTCTAAGCACCTCAATTTCTACAAATTTCAGAATATCCTTTGATTTGAAGTATATTGTAAATGTGTGTATTTTTGTAGTCTTTCCACTTTGCTTCTATTAAAAATACACATACAACCCTTAAGAAAGCACTAAAAAACCACCACCAGTGTATGCCAAAGCAAAGACATGCAATATGGACATTATTATCTTCTCTGAGGAACTTCTAAAATAGTATAGCTTTTTAAGTCCTACCCATCACGATATTTAGGGAAAGTTTCTGATATATCTTGCCTGTTTAGTAACTTCATTGGTTCCTCAAACTCAAAAATCTCAAACTTTGTTTAGACTTTTCATTAGTCAAGCAGGACAATATATGTATACAGATTTAAAAGAAAAGAAAAAAGAGAGAGAGAGACTTATAGATAAAATAAAAACCCAGAAACTTGGAAGGAAAAAAATTCTCTTAAGCTAGCAATTTTATCAAAATTATAATGACTTTGAATTGAAGTAATTTCTTTAAAGAAACTTACTGATTCTAGCAAAATTCTTCAGGAAGCTGAGTCGAACATGTGTTTACTGTAATCAGTGCATAGCATCCTGCAGACCCCGGAAAGGGTCCCTCAGCACCTGGGCATGCTGGGTTTTGTGCCTCTGTTCAAGGCAGAGCCTCTTCTTAAACCTCTGCCCATGCATATTTGATTCAACTCAACAAATGCTTGGTGAGTACTTAAGAAAACTATTCGTGAATAACATGCTTTCAGAAAGCCCAGAGTTCTCAGCAACATCAGCTTGCTTCTGTATTTAACGTACAGTCTGAAACTGTTTTCTTCCCATTTCATACACAGGAAAGTAAAGGCAGGGACAGGTTACAGAACTCAAAAAACAAAGCAAAATATAAAACTCTATTCTACTTTAGAGTTGGCCTGCCATTCATATTTACCCTTCTTCTGTCCTGTCCATTCTATCCCCTGCAATAGTACCCATCTCCGCCGCCCCCACCTCACCCCCCCACCCCGCAACATGCTCATTCCCACCCTTTTCGTTAGCTACTCCTTGAGCTCGTACCTGTACAGATCACGGCGCCAGGCACTGTGCTCAGTGCAAAGGCGATGGACACACAGGACGTTAACACCTGGAGGACTCACACTTTTATCTTACCGTGAGCGGTCAGGGTAAAATAAATTACATAAAGTGCAAATGATTTCCGGGACTCTTCCAGAGAAGACATGTGCTCCAAAAATCATATTTGAGAGGCACAACTATTACCAGAACAGAGATCACCTAAATTCTTTTACGGAGGTTTCCCTATGCAGGGCAAGTTTTAAAGGCATAGTAACCTCTGCCATTCTGATTTCCCCACCTATCATACCACTTTTCTAGGTTTTTATTTCATATGTTAAGTGAGATAACATAGTCATACTATGCAGAATTATTTATATACAATGGTTTAATAACTCAGGTTTAAGATACATAAATATGGAGAAGGTACATGTATTTTCTATCTGTAATGGTTTTTAAAATAAACCAGAAGTTGAGTGATCTGAATTTTAATATACTTTAAGGAAAAGGAAACATTTCGTTCAACTATCAATCCTCTCATGACTAAGCAGTTCATGATAATGTTTCAACAACTGTGAAAACGGAGCCAACGCTAGGAACATGTGGAAACCCTCAGACATGTAGAGACCCCCGCGGTAACCGTGGCACCTACCGTACTGTCATTGCTGGTAACATACACCAGGACGTCGGAGTTGTTCCTGCCGTTGATGTACCGGTAGCAGTTCCAAACGCAGCTAATCAAGTAACCCTGGAAGTAGTAGTGATTATATGATCTTTAGTTTTCAAATTTCAGACAACGTCAAATGTCACCATAGATAAAGCCACATTACAAACCCTTTATGTACATAAATTATAAACGCATCATGTTGACTCTTCTACACCAAAAAGACTTTAAAATTACAAATACTGGGTACACTACCTTTCTGGCAAAGGGTGCTACGCTAGCCTTTTCCTATCACACCACCTCTGTAGGTGGTGGAAGTCGAGAGGGGCTGAGAGCAGAACAAGAAATTCAAAGAAAAGGTAGTAGCAATTGCCAAACACATTTATTGCTCCCAAATTCCCAGTCGGCAGCATTCACTCAATAAACACTCCAATGGGAAACTTCGGGTCTACTGTCTCTAAAAACCCAATAACTATTTCAGTGACTTTATTTATTATTTGACATTTCTGTGACCTGGAAGAGAATTTAGTGGATTTCCCAAATAAACCTGCACTGACTACTTCTGTCCATCACCTATTTGCAGAGCTAGGAGGTAAGCATAGCTCCCTCTACTGTCCTAGGACCAAGTGCAACTGTCGTGTGCTGGTGTCGACTCCCGGGGAACTGGAGTGGTGACAAACCTTATCGATGAGTAACAGAGAAAAGTAGGTCGTGAAGCCACTAATCGGGGACACTCCTAGGTATATTCCTATGTGAAACCACATAGGAGACCCTTCATAAATAGTTACTGAATAAATGAAGGAACAATGGATCTTGCCATATGTGCGTTCCCTCAAACCTCACAGTCCCCTACAGATTGTTTTCTGAACTACCACTGCTATTTGATAAATGAAGACACCAAGGCCATGGTCACAGTTGGAAACAGCAGTGATAGGAGGTAAATCTGGGTGCTCTGACGCAAAATCTCAAGTAAGCATTTTCAATATAAATGAAAATGCCTTCAAAATGAAAATGCCTTTCTTAAGAGCACTGGGAGGCTCCAGCCTCTGAGCCTCTGGTAATGGCAGAGAGTAGCTTGTCAGATGAACCTTCTTCTTGCAGGTAAAACTGATAAAGCCAGAAACACACACACACACACACACACACAATGTAAAAGCAAGGGAAAGGCACCAAAACCAGGCAGAAGCTACAGGGAATCTACCCTTCAAAAACAAAGGCACTAAGTGGGATTTGAGAGTCTGTGGCCTTTGGCCTGGGGCCCTGCCATATCTACATGCAGCCTGGGTGGTCGGGTGGCCAAGGACAGTAGTTGGGGTTGACAGAGCAGCCAGGAAGTTGGGGGAGAGGAGGGGAGGAGCTGCAGAAGCAGTAAGCCTCAACATCTGTGCATAAAATGCACCCAAAGCCTTGACTACTAAACTACACATGCAATATCAAAATACTCTGTTTTGTAAGGGGAAATGTAGACCTAAATGATTTTCAATGACTCCTTTTCTTTGAATGAGCCACTTCATCATATTACCTATTTTAAATGATTTTTCTCCCTAAATGCAGCTTCCTCAAGCTTCCTGAGGTTTGATTTTTTTTGAAGAATTGGGTAATTTTTATGATATTAAGAATTAAAAGTTCAAAGTCCAACAATAAACTGAGAATTTTCTACTTATTAGTAGCACACATGAATAGATTATAGTGATGTGTCTATTATCTGGTTTACAAGATGAAAACAAATGAGGAACACTGCTGACAGGAGTACTGTCATTCAACTTCTGTGGAGGTCAATTTGGCAGCCTGTCAAAAGCCTTCGAATTATGCATTCCCTCTAATTTTACGAAATGCATCTTGAGGAATGCCTAACTATACAAAAGATGTATCTAAATGCATTCATTGTAGCAATATTAATAACTGAAAAAGTAGAAACTGTCTCAATGTCCAACAATAAGTAATTTATTAAATAATGATAAGTTGATATAATAGACTGTTAAACAATGATGTTCAGAATATATTGCATTTTAAAAACAAATTAAAAACCCTGAAATAAATGTTGCAGCATATAATATACCAGAGACCAGGTGCATGAAATTCATGCATGGGTAGGGTCCCTAGGCCTGGCCGGCAATCAGGGCCCATTGTGGGGGTGACCAGCAGGGTGATTGGGGGGGGTAGGGGGCCCTGCTCACACCTGCCTTGGCTGGCCTGGGGCCTGTGGGCAGCTCCTGCGTTGAGCGTCTGCTCCTTGGTGGTCAGTGCGCGTCATAGCAACCAACCGGTCGTTCCTCGGGTCTTTCCGCATTTGGCCGGTTTGCATATTAGGCTTTTATTATATAGGATATTACATAATGAATGACATTACATTAATTTTTTCTCATCCTAATAGATTTTGGAATAACCCTTGACTGGACGGGCCTATGGAAGTTTGGTGAGTGTTTATCTCATGCAGATAAGAGAAGGAACAGAATGTCAGGAAATCCAAAAGCAGTTCAGATATCTAAGCAAGAGAATGAGCTGACTGAAGTCTGTGTACTTCTGTGGCATTCATGAAAACGTTTAACAATAGGCAAGAAGTAAAATCTTTATTCTTACCTTGAAAGCCAAGAGAATGCTGATAAACAGAAGAACAACAAGGACCAAACAGGTAGAATTCACTGACATGGCATCCTCTTTGTAGGGAAAATTAGGAGGCTGCAAAAAGGAAAGTGCCTCATTAGCAAAACGCATTAATCACTCAGGATTATATTCCCTAGGCATTAATCACATGTGCTTATGAAAACAGTGAGGGCAGGTAGCTATTAAAGACCCCTAGAATATCTAGCCTACTTTACTTCTCCAAATGAAAAGCTACAAACGGTGTGGCAAGGAGAGGCTAGTCCGCTCATAATTCAGGCAATAACTCTCAAAAAGAACAATCAGAGGAAGATTCCTGAGAGACCTGAAAACATACCTGTGTCCTCCTACTATACAAAAAGCTGAAAGGTAGTAGTCTTTACACACCTCTGATACTTGGATTTGCCTGCGAATTCTGGACCATTCTGACTCAAGAGCTTGTGCAGGGCAAAGGGGAAAAAACTATTAAAATTAGTCTTCTTGCCCGGTCAGTGTGGCTCAGCGGTTGAACATCAACCTATGAACCAGGAGGTCATGGTTCAAATCCCAGTCAGGGCACATGTCCGGAATGTGGGCTCGATCCCCAGGAGGGGGTGTGTAGGAGGCAGGCGATCAATGATTCTCTCTCATCATTGATGTTTGCCTCTCTCTCTCCCTCTCTCCCTCTCCCTTCTTCTCGGAAATAAAGGAAAAATATATTTAAAAATAAATAAAATAAAGTTGGTATCTTCTTTATAGAGACCACTTTTATTGATGCTATTTTCCTCAAAGAGCAAAATCTTCACTAAGAATAATCAAGTTCCACTGATTAACTGATTAACCACCAGGTCAAAGGAAAGTTTTCAGGAAGAGTAAAATCTGCTGCTCTGGGGGGCAAGGGGGGGGGGGTGTGGAGACAGACAGAGCTTTGCCATGAAACACCTGCCGGCACTGAGCCAAGCCCAGCGTTTAACTGGCTGAGGAAAGGGTGCGGGAAGGCTGCCCAGTGCACTGCGGCCTTTCATCGCTTCACCGGCCAGGGCTATGTATTTGGACTCCATATTAGCCATACCCTGAGACACAAGAGAGTCATCCCAAATGTTAAGGAAGGATCCAGAGAAAACTCGTAACTACCCCCCCCCGCCCCCCCACTCCCGCACCGGGCTTGGCTCCACCTCCCGGGGGGTGAGCACCACTCAGTGATGTTCAGAGTCTCCTTTCACTGTGGGCAAAACATGTAAGAAATAAAACCTAAGTCATTCTTGGTGATCGGCCCGTGAAACGGGTCCCTTCCCTGGGAGCCTGGAAGGGTTTCGGAGTCCTTAGCGTAACGGGTAAGAATAAAACCAGCTGCTGTTCACAGAGAACATGAAATCATATGGTTTCTGTGTCTCGTAAAAAAGGATGAAAGTGGAAGCATGGGACCCTTTTCCATAAAGACTTTACGCTTATTCCCCCAGAAAAGTGACGGGGTGTCTGAGTCCAGCTGAGACCCACAAACACACGGACACAGCTTGTTTTCAGCGACATTTCACAAGACTCCACGTAAACAGAAAAGGCATGAGTGGGTGCTTTCCCCCACCTCCTCAGACAACCGTCTCTCGGACTCATTATTTCTCAACGTGTCAACAAGGGCCTCCGAATCGGCGGCTCTTCGACTGTCCTCTCATTACTGTCTCCCAGGCACCGAGACCGTCTGTAGGCCTCACTCTTTCAGCCCAGGCGGATCTCTAAGTAGAACGTCCTCACTTGTTTTATTTGGTTTGTAATTACAAATAAAAGTAGATGGTTTTTTTTTTTTACAGCTGCTATTACAATTCCTGTCAGCATGAACAATATTGTCATTTTACTACTAGCGGCTCTAGAATGAGTACCGAGTGACTGAGCCCTGTGGGCACAGCAGAAAGTCTAGGCAGTATCCGCAGTGCTCTGAACGCTGGCCTACCCATAAGGCTCTCCGGTCCTATTTATAAATCTCTGCCAAGGGGTGGGCTGGAGCACACAATAGACTCAGCACCCCCCTTCCCAGGCCCGCACGTGGCAGGCTACGTGGAGGTCACGCTCCCTCCACACTTCCAAGGGGGATGTCCGGACCTCAGCACCAGATCATCATCACTGAGTGAACACACACGCCCTTCAAGACAGAGGATTCTGTACAACCTGTGGGTCATACACAGGGTGGGGCAAAGAAGGTTGCCTGTATGGAAAATAATACAATAATTAATAAATAATAATTAAAAAAACAGCCCAGCAGGCATGGCTCAGGGGTTGAGTGTCGAACTATGAACCAAAAGGTCACTGGTTCGATTCCTGGTCAGGGCACATGCCCGGGTTATGGGCTCGATCCCCAGTAGGCGGTGTGCAGGAGGCAGCTGATTAATGATATTTCTATCTCTCTATCCCTCTCCCTTCTTCCTCTCTCTCTAAAAATCAATAAAAACATTTTTTAAAAATGTAAAAGGCAGAAGTATTCTATTCTCACACCCTCCCCAAACTTCTCAAAACCCAGCCCTCAATATTTGCATAATGGTTACAAAGGACACGCAGAAAACCGGTCTAAAAAACTGCTGGGGGAAGAAAGAGCTCTGTGGCCACATAAGTCTGGGACGCAGAATGTAGCTGAGTCCCACTTTCCCCGTACAGCAGCTGAAGCAAAAAGCTACCCTTTGCTGCTAACTGAGCAAATTACATTTCACAAAAATAAAACAATTAGCAACCAGCTTATAAGTTAGGGAGGTGCATCTAATATCACCTCAGCCACCAACTTATCTCAGGAGGTTGGTTTTCCAAAGGGCGCTCTAACAAACCAAAACTCTTATCTCCGTGGTAACATCAAAAAAACCTCTAGTCACTAACTCAGATGCAAGTTAAAAATCCACAAATCAGCCCTAACCGGTTTGGCTCAGTGGATAGAGCGTCGGCCTGCGGACTGAAAGGTCCCAGGTTCGATTCTAGTCAAGGGCATGTACCTTGGTTGTGGGCACATCCCCAGTAGGAGGTGTGCAGAAGGCAGCTGATCGATGTTTCTTTCTCATCGATGTTTCTAACTCTCTATTCCTCTCCCTTCCTCTCTGTAAAAAATCAATAAAATATATATTTTTAAAAATCCACAAAATAGCCCTAGTTGATTTGGCTCAGTGGATAGTGTGGACTGAAGGGTCCTGGGTTCGATTCTGGTCGAGGGCATATGTCCGGGTTGCGGGATCAATCCCCAGTGGAGGGCGTGCAGGAGGCAGCGATCAATGATTCTCATCATTTATGTTTTTCTCTCTCTCTCTCTCCTCCCTTCCTCTCTGAAATCAATAAAAATCCATATTTTTTAAAAGTTACAATACTGACTTAAAAAAAAAATCCCCAAATTAATGTGTGCATGCCTATCCGGATACCTCTTATCTGCTACTTAACCAGGTTTGCCTCAGGAAGAGATGCAGTGACGGGGGCGGCCACATACCAGCTGTCGTATGTACTCCTGAATGGAGTTCGGATAAACCAGCACAGTGATGGCAACCAAGGCGCTCAGAGCAAAGTCAAAGATCTGGTAACAGAAGAAAGGGACGATCCAGGCAGCACGTCGCTGTAGAAAACAGAAAACAGGACGTTAATGCTCATCACGTTCAAAATCACCAAACAGGATTTCTTCTCATTCAGAGAGATTTTTTTCTTAATCTGAAGGGAAACGGGAGAAATAGCATCCACTAAGCCAGGCCACGAGGGCAACTGGTAAACCAAATGGGAGTCAATGAAGAAATCCAACGAACATTTCTGAGACTATATTGGTTTTCCTAGTACGACACCATATTCACGAGAGACTTAGACTCTCAAAGATCCGCTCAGAAAACCGAGAGTGATGGCATCGGACTCCTTACGGACAGCTGTACAGATCACACATGCAAGGGATGGAGGAAAGGCCCTGCTTCTTTCCCTTTTTATTTTTTTAAACGGGAAAAAAATCAAACTTTTAATCCATGCTCATGGGGAGGAATTGAGGCAACATTGGGTGTATTATGACACATTTTGGACAAAAAAAGGGGGAGGAGGAGGTATTAGACTTCCGAAGTGAGGATGAGTGGCTTACGGGGGTTGAGGAAGAGCTGAACACACCTGGCAAGAAATTCTGGTTAGGCAGCTCAGGAACAACGGGGCATCGAGGGCATCTAGCCAACAGGCCCGGGCCCGAAGCCCTCCTGTTCACTAGACTTAATTTACACTGAGCCAGGGCGACATGGCCACAGTCCCCTCCGGGAGTGGGCTTTGTGTCTGAGCCTCCCGAAGGCCCCGCTGACTGCAAAGCTGCTTACCTTGTACGCTCCGTAAGTAGCCATTGCACATATCAGGATCATGAGAAGGGAAATTGCGATAGCAATGCACATGTCTGCCAAAGGTTAAAAAAAAAAATCAGTAGATCCATTGTTTAAGCATTTCTTTAGTCTCTCCACAAAGGCACTTTGTCTATAAACCAATTACAAGTGAGGGCCCTTCATACAAAGTAAAGCAGCAGAGATCTTTTGGAATTTGAGAAGATGAGAGTTAAGGAGAGTGAGGCTCAAAAGATGTTCTCCCTAAATCGTAGAAATGCCTGTAGGTGAGAGATTGGTTTACATATAAGTTTATTTCAAAAATGGGAAAGCGATATTGGTTAGAGATATATCTAAAAAGTTGGATGTCTGGTCCACTGAATTATATGATAGCTGTTGTTTTTTAAAATATGTAGTGTCTAACTTGTATTTTATACACTCATGTGTCTCATGCCCCTATTAAAACCCTCCACTGGCTTCCCATCTCATTTAATATAAAACCTGTTTCTTATCATGGCCTTCCTGTCTCTGCTTATTCTAAAGCAGGTCTAGCCCCAGCTGGCTTGGCTCAGTGGTTACAGTGTCTCGGCCTTTGGACTGAAGCGTTGCGGCTTTGATTCCGGTCAAGGGCACGAACCTCGATTGCAGGCTCGATCCCCAGGCCCAGTCTCTCTCACATCGATGTTTCCCTTGGTCTCTACCCTTCCCTTCCACTCTCTCTAAAAACCAATGGGGGGAAAAAAACCTCTCAAGTGAGGATTAACAAAACAAGGGAGAAACGATAAAGGAGGTCCACTCCTCCAGTCTCTTCAGACCTCATCCCACTTTCTTGCTCTCTACAATCCAGCCATGCCATTTGGTTCATTAAACACAAGATCACCCATCCCATCTGAGGCCACGCCCACTGACTGGAAGAAACGTCACTCAGATTTTCACAGGGCTGGCTCTGCCTTCTGAACCAGGCAGGTCTCAGCTCGATGCAACACCTCCCAGGCAGGCCCACATCACTACTGCATTTTCTTGATGGCATGTCGCTGTGATCGTGCCCACATTTGTGGTGTGTTGTCTGTCTCCCTCTGCTAGAGGAGAACCTGGGGAGGGAAAGGCTTTCTACATCTTGTTCACAACTGCAACCTCAACTCTGAGAAGAGGGCAGATAGCCAGTACGGTAGCTACTACCCACATGCGGACACTGAGCATCTGGAATGAGGTCAATCTGAATGGAGATGTGCTGCAAGATTAAAATATACTCCGGATTCCAAGGAATTAGTAAAAAAAAGGAGAGAATATAAAATATCTCCTTAATAATTGTTATACTGATGACACGCAGGAAAGGTCTGCCCAGTGCGACAGTTTCTGAGCCATTTCACGGACCTCTCCTTCAGTCGCCCTAACTCCCAGGCATGTCACTGTTCCCACAGAGCAGATTATGAAACCAGGGCTCAGAGGTTATGTAACTTGCTGGGAGCATTTGCACAGAAAGCTGAACGATGACTAACGCTGCTCTTACGATTGCCATCTCTGGCTCTTTCTACTGTACGTGCTGCTTCTATTTAACCTTTGAATAGTGACCTTGAGCCAGCCAGGCTGCTGACTTCCTACAGGTTACTTCTCCAAAGGAAAGGATTCCAGTTGCAGAACCATCCTCTCTTTAGCCTCAACATTTTAAGCAGGAGGTTTAAGAACAGAAGCACAGGGTGGAAGTCTACGCTAGGACAGAAATGCAGACATGTCAACAAAGACCATTTGCCACCTTAAAAAAAAGGAATGTTTCTCAGTTTGTTCTACAGATTTAATGCAGTAAATTTATAACACTAACGATTTTTAAAAAATATTTATTGATTTCAGAGAGGATCAGAGAGGGAGATAGAAACATCAATGATGTGAGAGTATCACTGATTGGCTGCCTCCTGCACGCCCCTTACTGGGGATCAAGCCGGAAACCCGGCTTGTGCCCTGACCGGGAATGGAACCATGACCTCCTGGTTCATAGGTCAATGCTCAACCACTGAGCCTCGCTGGTTGGGCGCTAATGGTTTTTATAACAGTGAAAATCTGATTCAAGAAAGAAAAAGAAATGAAGGTTAGGATAGCCTCAGACCAGTACCTAAAAGATCATGATTTCTTTTGGAATACATACATATTTATAGTTTATGTTATAATTTCAACGCTAAATTAATGTACCTTTTCCCTCTAGTGAGGAAAGAAGTACCTACACGGGAATTTCATGAATGCCTCATCGCATTCTTGTAGAGCCAGGGGAGGGAGTAGACGTGAATGCATTTTAAATGCCTTAAATGCAAAGGGAACGTCTCCGGTTACACACACCCATTCCAGGGCTGCCGTTTGCATGTGAAGCAATGAGCATGGCATGCTCGTCCTGCATAAAGCTCTGAGCATAGTGGGATGTACGTTGTCTGCTTTCTCTTTTCCCCATTCTCCTCAGTGAACTAGGCACTGTTATTTCACTTAATCCTTATGGCACCCTTAAAAGGTAGGTACTATTATTACAGCTTCATTTTAGAGAAAAAAGAAAACTTGCCCAAGACTGCCCAGCTAGTAAGCGGTAGATGAGATGTTATATAAACCATTTATTGAAAAGACCATCCTTTCTCCAATAAATGGAGCGGTATCTTTTCCTAATCAGATGCATCTACCCAGTGAATAAAATACAAATAAGGTCGACTAGAAAGACAAATCTGCAAAATTAGAAAAAAAATCTGCAAATTCGGGAAAAAAAGAAAAAGTTTGGTCAGCTGGGGCTTTCCACATGGCTGCGGGCACCGCAGAGTAAGGCTCTTCCTGCTCTGTCATTTGAATGATTTTTTAAAAATTAAACTTCCTTTATCTTGTATTTCCTTTTCACATGTTTTGATGTCCTTTCTCTGGATCTGAGGTGGTTCACCATTAGACCCCATGTCTTGAATTGCAATTCCTGGTTATTCTGGAATAAACCCATTTTGCTGGAGAAATAGCTGGCTATTTGTTTATGGTCAACAAATACTCCCAGTCTCTAAAACTGCCTCTTGATCCATTCTCCCTCCCCTCTTATTTGCCCAGCAACAATTTTTTCCCCCAAATGTATTTAAAATGTATTTCTCAAAGCCAGTGAGAAATACATTTGCATGACATTTTGTCTGGGACTAGGCACAGCAAGGACACAGTGTGACTGTGATGATAAAATATTCAGATTTCTGTGACCTTAGAGCTGGGTGCCTGGCTTATGCTTCTATTTATCAGAAAAAGGCCCCAAATCCACCAAATAACTACCAACATGGTTTCCAGACGGAGAATGATCACCTCCCGGAAGAAAGATAAATACTGAAACAATAGCAGACGCAATAAGACCTGCATGAGCCTTTTAACCTTCCATCCTGCCATTTATCTTTATCCCTCCTCCTCCCTAAAAGACCCAAAGGCCAGGGTAAAAAGATGATGACAAAGCAATTCGTTTTTAAAAGGGGCAAGTTAACGTAAGACGAAAACAGGAAAAAGAATCCTTATTTAGACTCCTACACTGAGAACACAGAGGGCAGCGCACAAATACTTATTTGATTTGATTTGTAACGATGGGAAGTTAAATATCAGTTCCTATGGGCCCATGAATCAATACTTAATTTAATAGGAACTGGAAGCCGGATTCCCTGCCCTTGAAAATACCAAAATGTCTACACTTGCCACCTGATGTACTTACTGGCGTCATCCATGAACTCTAAGTCACCTCCCAGTTCCGAACTCGAGAAGTGACGCTGGTCGGGGTCCGCCAGGGAGCTCAGCAGAATCAACAGGACCACGGCGTTGATGACCTGCACGCAGTCAGAAAGAAAACACGTGAATCACGTTCCCTGCAGACAGTCCCTATCAAAGACAAGTACACTGACCACAGGGGATTTAACCTCCACAGAGACCTCACATGCCCGGATGGCAGCTGGGCTTCACCTCACTGCCCGCTCAGCCCGCATCCGGAGCAGCGAACACCCAGCACGAGCACACGCAACAGCCGGTGGCTGGAAACGCACAACAGGCCTCCAGCCCTTAGCCCCGTACATGCGTATGAGCAAGTGTCTGCAGGTGATGAGATGTGTTTCACAAGCTCAGGCAGAGTTCTGAGATGTAGGAAAGGGTCAGAGAGGGTGCCAAGCTCAGCGGTAGAGCCAGGATCCTGGATCCTGCAGTAGCACACGAGCCCCTGTCCCAGGCCCACACTTGTCTCCTAGGTATTGCCGAATGCATCTCCCTTGGGCACTTCAAGCTCAGCTCATCTGAGAGGAAATCATCTTCCTGGAGATCTCCCACCTTTGTGCTTCTTATTCTGTTCTCTATCTTAAAAAATAGCATCACTACTAATGATTCAACATGGAAAACACTCCGGCACTGTGCTAAGTGCTTTACGTGGATCTTCCCTGCAATAACCTAATGAAGTAGGTGCTGTATTATCCCATTTTATAGATGAAAGAACTGAGGCTCAGGGTTAAGAACATTGCCCATGCCCGCCTAGCCGGTTTGGCTCAATGCTTATAGAGCATTGGCCCATGGACTGAAGGGTCTCAGGTTCAATTCCAGTCCAGGGCTCGTTCCTGGGTTGCAGGCTCGATCCCTGGCGCTGGTTGGGGCGCGTGCAGGAGGCAACTGATCAATGTGTCTCTCTCTCACACCGATGTTTCTGTTTCTCCCCTGCCCTTCCACTCTCTCTGAAAAACCAATGGAAAAAAATATCCTCACAATGAGGTCAGCTTTACGGCTGAAAAGGAAAGACTTACTTTTGGGATTCACGGGCTGTGCCTTCATGAAGGGGTGGAATAGGGAAGATAAGAGAAAGAGAAAAAGTGAGGAGGTGGTAAGGTTTGTCTAGTCTCAGAAGGCCCAGACTTGGGCATCCCACAGGGCTGGGTGTGGAGATGGATTGCGTAAGGGTAACAGGACACCAGTGGAGAACACTAAGGAAGAATGTGATCCGATGGGCATTCACATGCAAAATTTATGGTAAAAAGCCTTGCAGAGTGACTGGCATATAACAGCCCCTCAAGTGAGTTCCCTGATCTCCTTTTCCCCCTAATTGATCTTGTTGTTCCCCTTATTCATGCATTCATTGGTTGATTCTTGTATGTGCCCTGGCCAGGGATCGAACCTGCAATCGTGGCATATAGGGAAGGCACGCTCACCAACTGAGCTACCCAACCAGGGCATTTCCCTTGCCTCTTCACACCTTAGCAAGAACCATATAAAAGGTCTTGGCTGGCATCAGCTCTCCTGAGCCAGGGTTATGCAGGGGCTTTCCTGTCCTTTCAGTTCCCAGGGACCTGTCACCCCTTAATCAGCTTGTTGCTATGCCTTTGCCTGGCTTACTGACAATACATTTACTAACTGCCTACCACAGACCAGGCATTTGCTGAGCGCTTAGGAAGAACTCTCCAGGACTGAGAACAGGAAGTTAAACAAGTCACGGACCCAAATAACACAGAGCATCAAGCAGTAAACACGACAAAAATTCAGAGAAGGAGATGAAGCTCCGAGGAAGACATTACTGAGGCCTGTGGCTGAGACGGGTCCCTGGGAGGTGCAACCGGGGTAGTATTTGGACAGGGCCCGGGAAGCAGAGAAGGTGTGGGAACCTCAGAGGCATAAAGAACAAGCTCAGATATGAGCAAGGCCACTGGACAGGAGCCTGTGCTAAAAACAGCAAATGGTCCAACTTGGTTGGAACACAGTATAGGGATGGGACAGTTAGGGAGCGAAGCTAGAAATGCAAGCGGCGCCACATGGTAGAGGGTCCTCCACACCAGGATAGGAATTTGGGGCTTTATTCGCAGTTAATGAAGATGCCGTAAAGGTTTCTGAAGGGCGATCTGCCATGATCAGAGCTATGTCATCAGAAGTTCAAGCTGGAGGAGACCAGGAGGCTCCCGTGGATGAGGAACCCCACCTGGAAGCCACTGCAATAGTCCGGCTGAGAGCTGATAAGGTGGTACCTACGCACCTCTAATTGTCATCTTACACGTCAGCTTGAAAGGTTAAGGGACTATGTTAGGTCCCGTGTGTGGAAGAGCCCTGGTTTGAACCCAAGGCTTGTCCACATGGAGGTGGAATCTTCAGAGACTTGGAAAGTGACTAGATGCAAAGATAAAGGGAAGCAAACAAGACTCTCAGATTTCAAGCCTGGGCGACCAGATACATCTTGTCATCGTCAGAAATAAGAGCACGTGAAGGACTCTGACAAGGCTGATTCTAGACACAGTGTGTTGAAAAGTACGTGCAGGCGTCCATCTGGCCTCTGATCCTCTTTGTACTCATCCTTTGGTTCCCAGGCCTGCCTCCTCCCGCTCTGACAGCGGACTGGCACCTAGTCTTGTGTCCAGTCCTGAACACATCACATCATTCCTGACGACACTGTCCTGGCTACGGGTTGGTGTGTTCTTCTCACTCCAGAGTGGGCCCTGGTTCCGACACCTGGCTGTGCCCTAGCTGCTCCTGTAACTATCATTGGCTGCTGTTCCACTAGCCCAGTGGTCGGCAAACTGCGGCTCTCGAGCCACACGCGGCTCTTTGGCCCTTTGAGTGTGGCTCTTCCACAAAATACTGGCTCTTCCACAAAATACCGACTTCTGTGCATGGGCCACAAAGTTTCAAGCGCGCACGTGGTATTTTGTGGAAGAGCCACACTGAAGGGGCCAAAGAGCCGCATGTGGCTCGCCAGCCGCAGTTTGCCGGCCACAGCGCTAGCCCGATGGCCCTTCTCTTTGTGCTCACAAGCCATAGATCACAGTCCTGGTGACACATCCCCTTCCAGGTGCCCTTGTTCATGAGACAGTCCGGAGAAAGACGACGAAATGAAGATGTAATGGCCCTGGCTGGTTTGGCTCAGTGGATAGAGTGTGGGCGTGCAGACTGAAGGGCCCCAGGCTCGATTGCTCGGTAAGGGGCATGCAGGAGGCAGCGGATCAATGATTCTCTCTCATCATTGATGTTTCTAGCTCTCTCTCCCTCTCCCTTCCTCCCTGAAATAAATAAAAATATATTAATTTAAAAAAATTAAGATGTGATGGTAAGGTCAGTACATGGCACATATGACTCACCACTGTGCTCTTTTAATCACAGAGTATTTCATAATAGAAGGGGTGTGTTGAGACATATTTACCGTATAATTATGCAAAACCCCAATTGTTGGGTGGAATTTGGCACGCCATGGGTGCTGTGAATGCAGCAGGGTGATAGGGTGATCCAGGAGGACCCAGGTCTGTGCAAGGAAGAGGGCGGGGCAGGACCAGCCATGGAAACAACTAACTGAGCAGGGTCAGATGGAAAAGGTCAATTAAAGTGAAAGGCCCACAAACACTGGGTGAGAAGTACTTCACCAAAGAGAGAAGATGAAAATTACTCAATCATCAGTTCTAAGAATGAAATGTCACCACAAATGAGAACCAGGAAGATGGTAAGGCCGGCCAGCAGCAGATTATGTAATGGCCACAGCCAATCTACATGGAAAAGCAAGAGAGGGTGTATTCATTTTCCCGTTCAGTTAGTGCTCACTGAGGGTACATTTGGACTTGCTTCGTCTGTTCTGGTCGGTTGTGTACACACTGTTCCTATTCTGTTTACAAAGTGTTCCTGGGGTGTCACATATTTTTTCTTGTTCTTGACAATGATTACTTCCATATGTAACTCAATTCAACTTCCTCCCAATTACTTAAGGCGGCATTTATCTAGTCCCTCGTATACCCTCCAGGAATCCAAAGTGCACTTCACTCTTGTCATATCAGAACCTAGATCAGCGGTTCTCAACCTGTGGGTCGAGACCCCTTTGGCGGTCGAACGACCCTTTCACAGGGGTCGCCTAAGACCATCTTGCATATCAGATATTTACATGACGATTCATAACAGTAGCAACATTACAGTTAGGAAGTAGCCACGAAAATAATTTTATGGTTGGGTCACAACATGAGGAACTGTATGTAAAGGGCCAGAAGGTTGAGAACCACTGTCCTAGACGAACAGTGAGACTTTCAGCTTGAATCTAAACCAGTGAAACTGTAAAATGTAATTGTCCCTTTTTCAAAGCCTCAATAAAAGAAACTTACGAACACTCAAACCCACTGAGAGTAATGACTCAATAATTGGCACAGAAAGTTGTGTCCAAAAATGATTTCCGCAGACTTATCTTTTATGAAAACTTGAAACAGAAGTAGGAGAATGGCTAAATAACATTACAACCGAATAACAGAATCCCAACTAAGCATCAAAAAATCATATTCAAAAAAACACTAACGACGAGAAAATGTTCACAGTACTCTAATGTTAAATGAAAACTGCAGTCTAAAAATGTTCTCTGATTAGAATTTCATTACTTACATTTGGAATATGCTCACATGTATAAATAACAGACTAAAAAACACTAAAACATACAATGTTATAAACCAAGTGGTAGGTTTGTAGATGACGTGTACCTTTAATTATCACTATACCTTTTTATATTTTTCCAGAGTGTCTGTTTTCAGAGCCCGGAAAAAAATATTTAAAGCTTCAAAGATATTTTAAGCTTTATTACAAAATGTACTACAAATTATTATTATTAAATATATTACAGAATGTTATTATTAAAATGTTATAGAAAATTATTATTAAACCTGACTCTCTACAGAGAAACAATAGTGCTAAGAAGATGACCAATAACAAACCTGGCTGGCATTTAAGTCAAAACTTGAAAATAGGCATAATAGGGGAGAAACGTCGGAGTAAAAGAGAATAGTAACAGTGAAGGGATCTGCCACTTCCAGTGATATGAATTATGTTCGCTGAGGACAACTAGAAA